GGTGGGAGTGTAAATTGGTACAACCACTATGGAAACCAGTATGAAAATTCCTCAAAAATCTAAAACTAGAGGTTCCACTTGACCTAGCTGTTCCCCTTCTGGGTATATTCTGAAAGAACTAAACGCATCACACATACGCGTGATACTTGCATACGCGCGGTACTTGCATACGCGTGGTACTCGCATACGCGCGGTACTCGCATACGCGCGGTACTCGCATACGCGCGGTACTTGCATACGCGTGGTACTGGCATACGCGCGGTACTTGCATACGCGTGGTACTTGCATATGTATGTTTGTAGCAGCACGATTTATAACAGCTAAATCTTAGAAACTGCCCATATACCCATCAACTGAAGCAATAAAGAAAATATGACATTTATACACTGTGGAGCACTACTCTACCATAAAGAAGGGTAAACTTGAGATATTTTTAGCTACCTGGATTCATCTTGAGACCATAATTCTACGTGAAATAAATCAGACAACACGCATTAAATGTTTTTACATTTCGTTTTATTAGTACATTTGCATTCATGCCGTTAACAGGCATCTAGGAGGATGGCTGCATGTACATTCCACAGTGCGTTTGTTTCTTTTAGTCTCCTTCTCCTTCTGTTCTCCCCCTCTCTCTTTCTCCAATTCTCCTATCCCATTTTTCATTCTTGTTGATATTACAGCTCTGAGCTCAGGTCATGGCATATAGTGTTTATATTAACTGAGGTCATTAGGTTCCTGTGCTCGGCTGACCTTGTACTTATTTCCCCTTCCTGTCCTCACGCCTCGTGCTTTTTCTTGGACCACTACCCTATTGCAGGAGATCCTTCTCCTAGTGCCCTTTTATTCATCCTTCATTATTCTCTGTACTTTGTCCCACTCAAATGAGTTACCATCTGGTATTTAAGCTTTGACAGACACACAGTGTAAATACTGCATTGTTTCTCTTATTTTTGTAAGTACACCTGATATTTAAAAAAAAAATCTTCATATGACTTAGTTAAGGAGTACCTGTTGTGTACTAGAAACTGAAAGCTACAGCATGACCAATTTGTCACTATCGGTGAAGAATTTAAGTGGGAGAACCAGAGGCATAAATGGGCCGTCACTTAGTGTGGCATATACAGTGACAGAATTGTGCACCAGGTCAGGCAGGAGCGCTAGGAAGTGAATTAATACTTGGTGGGGAGAAATTTCTTTTGGTGGGGACGTGTTTTGGTAATTATTAGGTTGCACCTGATTTTTGCATTATTGAGGAAGCATTTACCAGATGAATAGTAGAGTTTGGAGTACAGTGACTAGCAAGAAAAAGGGCATGACTGAGAAAAGGGGGTCTGTCCAGAGAAACCCAAGGAGTTAAGTATTTCAAGGCTGCAGTGCGTGTAGGAGTTGTGAGTAGAAACAGTGGTAGAATACACACTGAAGTGTGAATCGGGTAGATAGGGCAGTGTATGTGTGGACACTGAATTTGAGACGCTGGCAGGGCACACCAGTGGTGACATCTAGTAGACATTTGGATTCACCGTCCAGTGTTAGTGAGGACAGCTATCAGTCATCATTCAGTAGACATTCATTGTCTGCTTAGGCTGAGTATGGCTCTAGGAGTTCTGAATGTGTATGTTACCAAAGGCTCTTTTTTTCCCCCTGCATCTTGCATTAAGAAGAAAGAAAAGACAGTAAAAAAAGATCTGATGAAATGTTAGTATATTTGAAATTGATAATAATTATGTGGGGAAAGCAGGCTGAGCAGGGTAAAAGAGGTTGGTGTGCTGATACGGCAAACTGTTGCTAAATAGAAAGGTTGCTGTGGGAGCCTCACTGGTAAGTTTGGTGAGAGTTAAACGCATGAGCTGGTGCGATTTTATAGGGGAGTGGTTCTCAAAGTATGGCCCTGGCAGGGCCAGGGAGATGGCTCAGTAGAATAAGCGCTTCCCTGGCAAGCGCAAGGGCCCGAGTTCAATCCCCGGGTTCCAAAAAAAAAAAAAAAAAAAGTATGGCCCTGGAGCAGCAGGCTTGCCTACATGCCGGAGCTTGTTAGAAATGCGAGCTGTCCCTCTCCCTCTTAGGCCTAATGTTGCTCTGTAGAAAAATCAGCAGCATGTACTAGCATGTATCACATCTCTCGGGTGGGTCAGGAGATTGGGCACAGCTCGGCCACGTCCAGTGAAGGGCTGCAGTCACTGCGTGGCCTGCGCTTGGTTCTTGTCTGGCGCTTCCGCTGGGAATGGATCTACCTCCAAGGCAAAAAAGGTTGTTCACAAAATTACAAGAGCTAGCCAAAATGTACCATGAGTGTTTCAATAAAAATGTATGGCAATAAAAGACATCCTGCCCTAAATCCCCCTCGAAAGACGTCCCCTTGTTTCCAACACACTTACACTATAGTCTCCTCACTTTCTGAGGCCGTTCTGGAGGTCCTCTTTCATGAGTATTTTACACATACGATCAAAAGCGAGGAGTTTTTGGCGAGTGTTATCCAACAGATGTGGGCCTGAAGTCATCCCAGGGTGTCCTCACTGACTTCACTCACCAGTCTAGCACCAGGCAACTTGGGTTTCTTCCCCAAAGTCAAAACGACCGTGAAAAGCAAGTATTTTGAATGAACTCAGGACGTTGAGAAAGATACAGCAGTATACTTGATACTCAAGAAACGACTTTGGGAATGGTTCAGGAGAGGCAGGAACGATCGATGGGCTAAGTGTGTTCGAAGAGAGGTGGATTAGTTTTGGTGAAATCAATGACAGTGTGTCTTACTGTAATTAAGAAAAATTAAACTATATATATATTTTTTTTCTTTTTTTTTTTTTTTCCTGGCTCAGGCTGCCTTGAGGGTAGGTCTCATGGGGAGCTGGGGATCAAACTGCGGTCCCCCGCACCTGACTGGGTTTGTCCCTGCAGGTGCTTAAACAACTGAGCTAACCCGCAGGCCTCTAATTTTTTTTTTTTTTTTAAATCTATTTGATACAGGGTATCTCTACACAGCTCAGACTCATAGCAATCCTCCTGTTTTCAGCCTACCCAGTGCTGAGACTACAGGTGTGCACCACCATGCCCAGACTCAGTGGCGAGGTCAGGGCTCCCAGGGGCGGGGCCGGCATGGCATGTGGTATATTTTTCCTTTTTTAAAAAAAAGTAATAATAAATTGGTACCTCTGTTTCCATTTATTATATTTTTTGATCACATCTTGGAATTTTCTTGTGGCTGTCAAGAGCCCGAACTTGTGGCCGGGATTTGCCCTGTCCGTTTCTTGGAAGCTGCTACCGTAGCCTGGGGACTTCCCTCACTGTCTGAAACTTGCTGCAGTTTCTTTCCATGTGACCCCCTCCACAGCTCCTCTGGGCCGGGGCATCTTCTTCAGAGCCAGTAAGGGCGAGAAAGTAAGCCTGCTGGCAAGACAGAGCCTTTAGCCTGGTGTAAAGTAATTACAGGATCAACCACCTTTCTGTCAGTTAGACACATAGAGTGTCCTGCCTGCGTTCTGTGGGCGGAGCTTATGCGAAGGCACTGAAATGCCGCAAGGAACAGGTCCTGGTGGCCACGCTAAGTCTACGTGCTACAGCTTCACAGAGTCAGATGCTGTAGGTCGGACTTGGGAACTTGTGTTTAGTAAGCCCTCAAGGTAATTCCGCCACACTCTAAAATTTCCTATTGAGAAAATATGCAGAATAGAAGCACCTGCAAGCGCATGGCCTTTGGAGATTTGCAAGGAAAACGTTGAAAGGCTAACAAGTGACAGGCAAGTTTGTCTTGCTGTGAGGTCAGATTTCTGATAAGATTTGCTGTGTGTATCTACCCCTCAGGAGCTGTTGGTTCTGCCTCTGTGGATTCAGCCAACTGTAGATGGAAAATATTTGACAAGAGCTGTGCCACTGCTGCATCTATGGAGACTTTCCCTTGTCAGTATTCCCTGAACAATACAGTATGACAACTAGATAGCAGTACATTGTATTAAGAACTTTAGGTAATTGAGAGACGGATCGCAGTGTACAGAAGGAGGTATATAGGTTACCTGCAGATACTCCTGTCTTCCTTGAGGGGCTTGAGTACCTGTAGATTCTGCATTCTTACGGGTTCCTGGAACTTCCTGATACCACGGGACTACTGTGGTTGCTCACTGGGGATCACTTCCTGTGATTTCCTTGGGCCGATGGGAGGAAAAATGAAGTGGGAGTGGGCTGAAATATTAATAGGAGGCGAGGAAAAGGATAATGTATGAGATTCATGTATTCAAGTTAAATTGAATTTGTTTTAGTGAAGGGATTAAAATGAATTTGTTGGCGGTATTATAAACAGAATTTGTACATGAAGCATGTCCACGTAAAGTATAGAAGTATATGTGTAGGCTAAGATTCAATTAAATTTATCATTTGTCACTTTAAATGTGGGAAAGTAAGGCCAGGTATTTTATAACAACATTTTGGACTTTTATACTTAGCATTATAGTAGTAGGGAAGCTTCCTGCTCAGCTCGGGAAGTGTGTGCTCAGCTGAAATGTGGGAGAGTGCGTAGGATCAAGGAAGGCCACTTGCCTGGTATAAGTTTTACTTTGTAAAGGACAGGAAGTCTTAAGAATGTAGAATGTGAAACACTAGACATGTTTAGGAAGAGAGAAAGAAAGAAAAGTAAACATGTTGGTTTGAGGCTCTCAGGTGGTGTTGGTCCCAGTGCAGCAAGGAGTAGATAAATTGAAGTGATAGGAGGTATCAGGTTCCAGTCAGAGTTCTTGGGGGGGAAGAATATTCTAATATTCTAGGAATTTATCTTACAGTTTTCATGTTAGAGTTAAGATCAGGAAAAAGTTTTTGTTTTCCTGGAAGTCTCCTCATGTTATTGATAATTCTGTTTTCCTATAAGTAGGTTTATTTATCATATTTTAGGGCAAAAATACCTCATTTTACTAAAATAGCATGTCTGTTCTATAGTTTGATCAAATCTCCACCAGTGTATTCATACAGAGATTCTGTTCCTTAATTGTTGACTCTTCTTGCTTAGTTAGGATTAACTCTGTTCCGTAGCACAGCATTTTGATTATATGTCTAATATATTTGAGGTCAGTGATGAGCTATTTATTGATGTTGTAAGCCATCTCTAAAAATTACCCATAATAGAAGGTACAAAAATACACGTGCAGACTCCAGTTAACCTAAGTTGTGTTTTAAAACCGCATTTGTTCCATTCCTGGTATGAAAAAATAAAAATAAAACCTCATTTGCAACCAGGCTTTTTGAACTTGGGAAATACTTTCTGTTCAAACCATATTTCAGGCAGACTGCAGTTCTCAGATTAGTTGCAGCGTGGGGCGTAGAGTATCATAAATCCTGATAATATCGAAATAGCTTTTTATCATGCAGAAACAGTATTTCGGGGCTTGTACAAGGGAGTCAGAAGAAGATAATTACTTCTGAATTTGTCTCTTTGAGATAGCTGGGTTAGGACTCACTGACTAGCACTCCTGAAGTGCAGAAAGCCTTGGTTGCGTGGCCCGTAGTAAGAGGAATCCCAGCAGAATGGATGGAAGTAGCCGTGGACTCCATCTGTAGTGGTCATTTCAGGAGAGTCAGGAGGCTAAAATAGACTATAGTCTCTATGAATTTAGAAATGAACACAAATGTGAAGTCAAGGGAAGAATCTAGGATTAACTGTTTTCTCCTCTGGAATGGAGAAAATACCTGCTTGCTGGCACTCTGAAGAAGTGGTTCCTTTCAACATTGTAACATAAGGAAAATGACAGATGTGACTATTTATGCTGCTGCTACCACCATCACCAACAAAATCCTCAAGATGATATAGTTAAAGATTGGTTGGGGAGATAGCTCGGTGGCATAAGCACCTGCCTGGCAAGTACAAGGTCTTGAGTTCGATCCCCGGTTCAAAAAATAAAGAAAGTATTGTGCAAGTTGTTATCAAAACATTAACGTCCCAACTGCAGTTTGTTAGAAGGACTGTAGGACTTGCTAGCCAGATGACAGTGTACAGAATACACAAATAGAAGCTCTGGAAGAGAGGGACTGCATCTGATTAGGCTGTCTTCCGGGCTTAGCCGCCCAGAGGCTGCCACATAGTAGATTCTCAGTGTTTGTGTGAAGAAATAAAACTTAGCTGCCAAGTGTTTAACTTGTACTCACCATAGGGAACCATATTTAGGCACCACTTAAAATACGATTAAAATCACTTCAAAGTAAAGCTTTAAGATGTAGGTGAAGTTACAGAAAAATTGATGTGTATTTATAAGAGATTGAAATTGGCTTATGTATGCATGCGGTGTTGTCAGGAGCGGGCAGCGCGGCGCCTGTCTGCGAAGGTACATAAATATTAACATTTGATTTAAAAATAAATCTCCGAAGAACTAGACACAGAAGGTTCATTGTTGTATCACAATGGTGAAAAGGTAGGATTTTTTTTTTTTTTTATGGTCAGGAAAACTTTAGATTGTAGGCCCATCAGTTCAAAAGAATTTATAAGTCTTTATATTAAATTTATAAGGCAGTATGGAAAGGAATTTATTAGGAAATGTTGCGGTTGGGAGTGGAGGGAGGCAGGAGAACCAAGCTGCCTTACAAAGCTGATGGTGTCCGTATACAGTTAGGGACACATGGGCACGAGTGCTGAAAAGGAATACACACAAGGGGTCGCCAACCTAAATACATTGAAAGTAGTCGGTAAGGTTTGTTGTTTTTCTCCCCTGCCTTCCCTTCTTCTGGAACTCAAACACACATACAGTTTTCAAAAAGTGCTTTTTATTTGACTTTATTCGATGTTATTTTTGTGACAGTTGCTTTTCCTCTGTGTGGTCAGCACCGCGACCTCCAGCCTCAGCCTCCCGGATGCTGGGCGGCAGGCGACAGGCACGCGCCACCTTGCCCGGCTGGTGTTTGTATTTCGGTTACTGTAACCATCAAATGCAGTCATGGTTGAATTACGGTAGATGGTAGACACTATGGAAAGTACCTCTTGCAGGGACATAGAGTAACTTTAATAAATGTTCTTTTCTGTTTCTTCAGGGCAAAGCTGTTGGTGTGACTATCGGCTGCATCCTTGGAATGTTCCCTTTGATATTCTTTGGAGGAGGGGACGAGGAGGAGCCACTGGAAGAGAAGAATTAGTCTGCTTGGAATACCTATAAAAGCTGTAAACTAATGTACCTCAGTTATTAAACATGCTGTCACAGCATTTAAGAATTAAGACAGAAACCTTGTGTAGATACGGGATCAAATAATTCAGCATGTATTACGGAAAACACTAACTTATTGTGGCTTGGTCTTCCTAGGACATCTTTTTTTAAAAAAAACCTATTTAGTGTTGTTTCATGTAAATTGTTGAAATGCTTTTTCATCAACGATGGTCAACATTTTATCTTCTGTTTATATATCAAAATATTTAAGTTTCAGTCGCTGATGTACTGTACTGACTTAGGGTTTGCTCATTTGTTTCTTAACGTGTGTCCATGCATGAAAGTATTTGTTGTTGTTACTCCCGGTAGTTAGGATTTGGCCTTAAGATTTTCCAGATTTCTTAAGGTTAGTATCAGTTCAAGATTTTTTTACTCCTTTTTGAAGCATCAATTTTGTACTGTTTCATTCATGGTGAACATCTACAATCATGTAATTTCAGTCATTTTAACTCACATCTATTCAAAATGAATGCAGATTTTAAGTATATGTTACTCATTTTAATTTTCTGACCATACTGTCTTAAGAGTCAGAGGTTGATCAGAAAGAGAAATCATGTAATCTCCCTCTTACCCACAACTATATATGCTAACAAGTGTACTTACTTCTAGTTGATTTTTTTACCCTTAAGTTTCTTAAAATGAATAATTATGTAGTGAGTTCTGACCCCTGAAAGGAGGAATATGGTTGTTTTATAGTCATAGAATAGGAATTATAAGAATTATAGAACTGGGGGCATCTAAGATATTAGACATTTGAAAATTAAGAGGCTAATTTTTTTTTTTTTTTTTTTTAGCGAAGTAGAATTAGAAAGTGTCAAGAATGTTTATGACGTAGGTAGTAGACATGAAGGTAGTAAAGTTTGGAAGGTAAATGAGATACAAGTTATGTTGCTTGGGAAGGATTTCCCCCCACTCCCCCAAAAAAGTGTTATCTTCCATCTGAATAGAATGGATCTGAACACTCCATCACTTCCAGTTTTAATGTTTAATGAACTAAATTTCTGGATAATTTCTTTTGAAGTGAAAGCGAAGTGTCAGATCTTTTGCTTTTTCTTTTACTGTCTAATGTAGTCCAAAGTTCATAAGGAGCAATGTTTCCCCCACATTCAGTCCTTTTTTTTCTTTTGTGCAAGTGCTTAAGGCATTTGCTTGGTTGCAGTTGCTCGCTTCCAGCCAGGTAGATCGTACCCAAGTGGAGTCCCATGCGCTGCATCCATTTTATTTTATTTTATTTTATTTTTGGCGGAACTGGGGATTGAACTCAGATCCTTGCATTTGCCAGTCAAGCGCTTATCCTACTGAGCCATTTCCCCAGCGCTGCATCCATTTTAAACTTCAGTCTTTTTAGCATTTTATCTGCTGCACCTGCTAAAACAGGACTTCTGAGCAAATACACCATGGAAAAGAGAAATGAATTAAAGCTACCATTTTGGTCATTGAAATTATTGATGTTGCTAAGTAGATAGCAGAGCAGACAAACTTACAGGATGGCTATAGGAATATTATTTTTAAGTTGTATTTACACATAATTATTTTGAGCTCTTATTTTCGGAAGGGATTTTTTTT